GCTTCAAATATTGTACAATTGAACGCGGGCGCTGCCTTTAATCTGTGTAGGGCAAAGGCATGGTTACACCTGTCCCAAGATCAAATACCTCACGACCTTGGCCGCCATGCTCAATTTATTTACTCAAATGTACTACTCTTACAGCTCAAAGACGAATGATCGTATAAAGTTACAATAGAAATCAATAACTTACAAAGTTACCCAAAATGCGTCAACGAAGTCATAGAAAGCTGTGAGTTACTAATGAGCTCTGAGGTTCTGAGTGACCTCGTCGGATAGTAACCTTTGACCTTTTCTCCAGAATTCAAGGTGTACTGCCTTCTTAAAGAGGTAACACTTATTTCAAAGAGTAATTCCCCTGAGACTGCACTGCCTGCTTTTATATGAAGCTTAGCCAAGAAGTTCCGTTGCTATACGATTCGAATGACGCCAAGGCCATCCCAAGGTTTCTAATCCGACTAGTCGATTCCACGAGACATTTAAAAACGCTTTCCAAAAGAGAAACCGCTTTCGAAAACAAAAGCGAGATTCATTGTTGGAATACCAGCTGATTATTACATTGTGAACTTTTTGATCCCAATTCTGTTGTAATGTACGGTGGTTGAAGGTCGGAAGGCTGTCGTTCCGACGCATCACTGGAGACAACGGCGAATTTGACAGTTGCATTCGCAGAGTGCGATGTACTACGGCAACGATCGGTAAGTTTTTTTTCTGAGTTTATGCCTTTTATGTCAAGACTTCTTTGGGTTACTCTTATGGGGAGCGCATACAAATTAAACTTACGAAACCATTATTGAGAGATGTACAGTTGATATCGCTGCCGTAACTCTGGGCGTGTCAGGAGGCGCGGAATGAGCCCCACCCCATTGCATTCTACCAATAGCAGTCGGTCACTCGTCAGTATCACTTATCACTTGTGAAAGAAAACAGCTAGTCATAGAAAACGCCGCGGGTAGACTCATTTTATGTCTCTTGTCACTGCCCATATTGACTTCGATGACATCAAGTGCGCCGGATTTCACCCTACATAGGTTACCTCAGAATAGACCTCACCACAATGAAATGTGCTAATTTTTTTTAAATTTGGAGGTGTTGGCGCGTTCCCAGAATCACTCCAGAGGTGGATGAAGAGCTTTTTTCAGTAGTTTCAGCATTCCTTAACTTTCAACCTTGTCTTCCACGGAAATGCTGTCACTTCGGCTGGAATAGCGCCCGTCAATCACCTTGAAATGGGAGGGGGACCTTACATGAATAGCACGGAAAGCACAACCGAAGTATCTCGCAATTCATTTTACCCGCCACAGCACTTTCACCTTGACCCATCTGGGTTGTGGTGCGAATGCCGCGCCCGCATCAATATTTACAAGCCCTCTTCGCCGCACTGCTGCAAAAAGCGGACATATCGTAGCATACGCAAGGGCTAAGTCGAAAAAAAACATGTGGGACCGTTAATTGAATTTCTCCTATTATAACTCAGCAGTAAATGACACACTTATCTGGTTTCGCTTGCTTTTTATAAGCGTTACAGCATTACTTGGCAAATTTTCGGGTTCTGTGGGTTTGTGCTTGCTCGCTTTTTTTGGAATTTTTTTGGGTGCTAATTTTTTAAGAGTCCATGGGGTATTCAGGGGCTGCTTGCGCGGAACTGGGATTAACATTACCGGAGAAGAAGTGCTGGACATAAACTTGGTTCACTTACCCTAAACTCCAGCACCCTCTTGGGGAAGGCAGATGTCCTTATCCATACTAGTATTGCATAAAGAGTCCTTCAAATGCGCCTTTCAAGGTTATAAGCGCCAATTTTAGTCCTGAAAAAGCACACGAAATTCTAACAGAAACATGACCCAATGATTACGCTGGAGCATGATCCCTCTGCTTTTCATTTCTTGGCAACCTGCCAATCACATATGATGAATTTGGTCCAGTTCATCCAGTTCAGGGAGTCGAACCCTTTCGCCCAACTAGTCACCGGAGCCAACTTTTCTACGTCTAGTTGACGAGTTAGCCTATTCGCATTTTGTGGGAGTATACGGCACATGAAAGTGCATCCCTATGAGCTGGTTACTGGTTAATTCCTTGTCCAAACGTTCACTGAAGTCGCGATATGGCTTTGCTGCCTTCTATCCTTTCTAGCCATGGTGAAGCACAACATGAAGGAATGTAAACAGATTTCTCTGCAACAATTCAAATTCAACTTCAGTTCTATAACCACAAATCCAACTTAAATATCGGAGGATTATGAATCAACCCGATGGAAATGTCTCCAAAAAATATCTGATTTTATAGAATTTTCTGGAAGAAATGTGGCGAATTTTTACGAATCAGACATCCTTTTGTTCAAAAAAACTGGATTCACAAGGTCTTTTGTGAAAAACCTTCCGATTAATGAGGCGTGATCGCGCACGATTTGTTCGGGACGATTTTCGTGCGTGCTTTTCAGCCAATCTATTAGCGATCTAGCATTGCGCATTTTACCCTTAAACTTTCATCCTTAGTCGAAGTTTTGAAAATTGAAACCAATTTTCTAAAAAGTATGAGTAGAAAGTGTTTTCATAGTGCAAGCGCTAGAAGGAAAAAATCCATTGTCATACAGAGGGCACAGTGAATGGCAATTATTAGAGGTCAAGTGGCACTTCAGTGTCGTTGCAATAGAAGGTGGCGCCATGTTGAAAGACGGTAATTATTGGGATATCTCCCAGTGAAGCCAATAGGGACGCGTAGAGTTTACTCTCGCTAGTAAATTTTTGTTTTTTCAGAGTTCTCCACGTGGACTTTTACTCGCGTCGACAGTTATAATCTCTTTTCATCCGGTAAGTTACTGTCAAGAACTCTGAATGGCTAACATACAAAGAGATCTAATTCCCAAAAAAAAGAAAGATTCTCAAGATTCTGTATCACTAGACTTCTTGACGCTATTCGGCTTGGCGGGGGACGTAGGGCATGTTTGCTCTTTCACTAGATCCCTCTGCTAGTTCAGTTTAGCTGGAAGGTTCACTTCGGTAAAACTTTCAAACTCCTATGAAAGTGCAAAATAGTACAAAAGTTACAGGAACAGAATTCATTTACAGAAATCCAGAGCCCTTCACCAGGTCACTTATATAAGCAAGTGCAGGTAATCAGGTAGGATTTGGTCCAGCCCCCCCCCCTCCGCAGGCACTTCTACAGCGATAACTGCTACAAAACACACCTTACCGTGCTACCTACATAACCAACCATCTACCGAAAATTGCCAACTTGTCACGCAATTCCCCACTTTTCCCAGAAAAGGTCCTAATTTCCCTACAGAAAAGCTTCAAGCAGAGTTTGGGATATCGTCTCTCCGATTAACTAGTAACTCCAACTATTGAAAGCAGTTGTACTGTGCAGCTATTCGGGGGAGGGGGTGAGGGGGGGGGGAAGAAGGATCGGGGAAAAAATGGCCCTCTCAAAGCGATGACCGAACGCGAATTTCAAAATTCATTCCAATTCCAGAATATCAAATGAGACCCTAACTCAAGCGACCAGATATGGCCCGCGCATTACCGGCGTGCGACGTGTCTGCCCTCCAAGTCTGACCGCTTTCCTTTGTGCAATTTATTTACTTAATTAGTAGGTATATTAATTTACAGTTTGACAGAGAGCCGCCTGTTTCTATGAGGAATCAAAAAGACAATTCTGCACCCTCAAGTTTGATCTCGTCACCTGGTGACTGCCTGCCTACCACTCCCTATTCCATCTAATGGGAGTTCCATCAAGACCATTATCTCTCGGCCTTAAGGGAAAAAATAGGTTAATATGCTTTGTAACTGGCATAAGGAGGAACGCTATTCAAAAGTAGAACACCTTCCTGGCTCGCTAACTATTCTGTACGCTCGAATATGCCGAAAGGGGGCCCTTTAAGAATGTCAAGTGTGGATGTACAAAAATGAGAGTGCATCGACTGAAGGGGTACCAGATTAAGAGCGAAGGTGCTGCAGTGGAAAGTTGCTCGGCTTATCACGCACGGCCCGGGGGCCAAAATCAATGCCAGCTCCGCCTAGGTTCACTAAGCATTTCATCCCCGGTCTCAGGTTATTGGAAACCTTTGCGTGGAGGAGAAGCAGTGGGAGAAGAAGAACACATCGGCTGGCCCCGCAAGTCATTGTGTGGGCCACCTTGCATACAAATGTCACTACGATTGTGAATGGAGGTAGAGAGGGTGCCGCTCCCCAGAACCTGAAAGAATGAGGAGCTGCGTTGCTTGAGCTTTATTAAACCAGAGTTCATTTAAGCTTGCCACAAAGGTTGAATGGTAGGGTTACACCCACAGTCTTGCTCGTTG